AGTCAGATGCGAGCGTCCTACTACCACGGTGCTCGAACGAGGGCGCCTTACCGTGCAAGAGCCGAGTCAGACGATGGGTAAGTCTGCAAAGTCTGTTCACCAACTCAATCTCGCTTATTCGCAAATTGTGAACAGCGCGCCTCTTCGATGAGGTGGCCGAAAACTCTAGTAAATCGAACGATTCACTAGTCATCGATTAAGATTCAATGATTGTTATGTTGCAAGAGATTTGTCTGATTCAACGATTGTTATGTTGCAAGAGATTTGTCTGATTTGAGATTTGATTTGATTTATTCTTGGGATTTACAAAAGATTCAGAGCCCGGACTGGAGAGGTGGGGCTCTGGGACTGTTGTTTCATAACAGAACTCAATCCTATATAGGCAAATCTCTTGCAACTTGACAATTGTCGAATCTTACTCGTTGAGTATTGAATAAATGTTCGTCTCACTAACGTTTTTGACCAACCCAATCAAAGAGGGGCGCTATTCTATATAACTTGTAATGTGATCGAGCGAGGGGTAGGTGACCAGACGTTGCAGACCTACCCATTTCTGCCTAACTGAGCTCCACAGTCAGGCGCCCTCGCTCGAGCACCGTGGAAGTAGGGTGTCCACGTCTGACTGAATTACACCTGTTCGGGCACACTTACCCGTAAGGGAAATTGGCATACTGCCCGCGGATGCTGCCTTTCAGTGGTGCCACCCACAATCACCCACAGTATATAGAGCCGATGGAGGCTGTAGTAAGCCCTAAACTATTAATCTTTCCAGCGAGCATCACACTGTTACATCACAAGTACAATCCAGACAATCACTATTTATATTAGAATCTCAAATATGCCTCAAAACAAATTAGTTTCAAACAACTACTCTTGAATAACTGATACTTTCCGAAGTCTAACTACCATCGACAATACCTAATTTCTTACGATCTGCACCAGCCAATTTCAGTTCGCGGCGTAATTTCTCTCGCTGTTCCATTTCTTCTTTTCTGCTTAGAACAACATTTGACTTGACGTACACAAAGGCACTGAATCCAAACAGAATTATGACGATATAAGCCAACCAGATATTTGTGTGTTTCTTATCCAGTCCCAACTTTCCAACAATCTGAAAGAGGGTTCTAGTGCATATCGCTTTTGATCGAAATCACTGAGTACCGACTTCTGATCTATAATTCCATGACTGCTTTTGTCCTCCAAATGTGGCTACTCGTACAGCTGCTCTTTGTCGTATCCGTTCTTCGATTAGATCCATTGTCCTAAACCATCAAAACTGTCTTTGGATATTCTGAGACTATGATATAGAACATCAAAGAGAAGATAGACTGTCGTGTATTAGGAAATCCACATCATCAACGTGGGGACTTTTGTCTCAGTCTTCATTAGCTTTCCATTCTTGTGTGTAAAGGCACCGTCTACCCAGATTCTCGACTTCCATGTTTT